TAGTTACACTAAGGGACTAAGCGACTAGTTACACTAAGGGACTAAGCGACTAGTATTACAAGCTTAAGGCATTAAATATTTTAAAGCATTAAAGCAACTATAACTAATAAATAATACAATAATAGAAATCTATTCTATAACACTATATCAGTGCATTGCTATATGAAAATTTTGTTTTTTAGTTATTGTATTAACAAAATGCTTTCCATCTACAATGCTGCAAAGCTGATAAAGCTTTGCTAAAATATAATCAAGATAGGTTATATGAACAATATGAGAAGTAAAAACATAAGACTTATGCAGAGTACCAAAATATTTTAATTATAAATTAACAAATTTTTGTACTACAACATAATTCATCTAATATACAATAAATAGGAATAACAAGAATATCACAATTATTTTTTGATTAGAGTGAAGATATATCAGATTTTTTTGCAAAACAATAGATTGTACTTGCAATACCAAGGTGTAGATCTAGCAGATAATATGAGAGATCCACCAATAGAAAGAGAAGTAGTTATAGAATATTTAAAAAAATACATGAAAGAAAGAGTTTTAGAATAATTTGATAAAGAGATTATAACAAAAACAAATTAGGAATTAACTAACTTATTTGATAATATAAAGCAGGCTAACTTAGTAGCTATAAATGAACAAACAGAAATACAAATAAAAGCTAATATATTGAATGAGGTGATTGGCCAATCAGGAAATGCAATAGTTAAATTAAGAGTTATAGAAGATTTCTGGAATGAAGATTGACATATAGCAAGTAGTCATCCTATTAACAATACTATTAATATATCAAATATTAATAATGATACTATAGTAGTTATAGTTATTATTTATTTTGGTCAAGCTATATAGTGGCTAAAAATATATTTTTCTAAAGTAAAAGAGAAGCTTCAGAATTTGATATATAAAACAATCAGAAAGAAGAATATACTATAGATGAATTATATAGAAAATTATTATGAATAGGTAGATGGGCCAACTATAGACCTGAAGAATTATATAAAAAATTTTTGAATGTTCTTCTACTTTCATGACTAAAAAAGCTAAAAATATTAGTAAGTATTTGTTATTAGATAAATTGGCTAAAAAGCTATATAAGATAAAGTTATGCTGAATAGCTAAATATAAAAAAGATAAAATATCTAATCTATTAGTATCTTGGCAAATATATGAACCTTCACCCATTCTGGCTTTTTAATAGCAAAAATAACAGATTTATAAAAAATATTTCAGAATGTATTTGCATAACAAAAAAGTAAAAACCAGTTATTAGAAAAGAAATTTACCAAATTACAATCACAAATGGCTTAGCAATCAGTTGCTTAAAAAGTACAAGCACTAGTTCCACAAACTGTTAAACCAGTTAGATAGCCAAAAGGGTCTCATCTTTACTAAATACAAAAGAAGGCATAAAAGATTATTATATAACAAAATTCTTAAAAAATATAGGTATCTTTAGCAAAAAAGAATTATACTTGAATTATTCTATAAAGTCTTTTCAAAAACTTCATTTATAGTAAAGCAATGTCTTTACTAGGATTGATAGATTAAAAGAAAAGATTAATAAAACTCAAGATACTGTAAACTAGTTAGCTGATTAATTTTAAAAAAAGACATATATATGAAAATATGATATTTGTAAAGAGAGAAGCTATAGCAAAAGTAGTTGTTCCAATAAACAGATAAGATAATCTAATTTCAATCAGTCTATCTATTTTAAGCCTTTTACATCTATAAATTTCCAAAACATATCTTTAGATTCAGATAATAAAAAAGATAGTTATAATGAAGAAAATAATAAATGGACCAGATATAATTTGTCAATAAAAAAAAACAGATACTAACAGAATCTAGTCAGCCTAAAATGTATGATAAGCTGTTGCCAAACTTTTACTAGCAATATGTAAAATGTATTTATTTCAAAAGACTTAAAAAAAGAAATCAGATAAGTGGTTTTTTTCTTTACAATATCTGAATGTAAATATAAATGATTTAGTAATTTCTGAATCATTTTTAGATTTAGAAAGTGAATTTGGTAGTAACTCAGTAATTAAGATGCTTGGATAAATGGCTAATAAGCCATCTGATTTTGCTATAAAGAACAATTCTAGACATATCACTAATTCATTAGAATAGTACACAAATGTGCCAATTACTATAAAAGAAAAAGCAAGTGAGCAGTCACAGTTATTAGAAATTTTGTATATATAGATAATGAACTAATGCTATTTTTAGGTATGTCAAATATTCAAAAGCTACAAGATGTTTCTAAGCCAAATAAAAACCAGTTCTGTATAAAGTTATATAAAAAGGCCTATGTTATTTCAACATATAGCAAGGCTTCAGTAGCTAAGGATTTGCCAAAAAAGAAGCAGAAGGTAGTTTTTCAGAAATCTTTTATATATGATTTAGTCCAAGTATTCACTAATTCTTCTAGCCTGACTAGTAAGAATAATTTAAAAAAAGTATATAAATTATATAGATTATAAAGATATAACAATTTATATGAAAGAGCTTAAAAAGACATTATTTTCTAGCATTTAATTAAATTTAAAATTATAAGATACTATAATAATTTGCTTGACTGATATGAAAAGATTTTTCTAGAACCAAATAAGGCTAAATAATTATATTTTTTCCAAGCAAGCTTGAAAAAAGAAAAAAATAAATGCTTTTTTGAATATATATATTTAATATATAATGATTATTTGCTTTCTAACTTCAAGCAAGAATTGTAAAAAAACATAATAAAAGCATGACCAAATGCTCTAATTTTTTTTATTTTAGGAGCAGTTCTTTTATACAAATCTAAGACATCTTCAGAAAAGAATTTAGTAGATAAAATAAATAGTCACTTTAGAACTTATTCTAATAGATTTTTAGAATTAGAGATGCTAACAGACTTAGACTTAGAATTCTTTTCTTCAGTTTTTTTTTTCTTACTATCTGAAGTAATATTATATTTTATGAAACATCACAGATTATGTTTTTCAGTAATGTAGTAGCCTTTGATATATTCTGTTTATCTATTGCATTTGTACTTGAATAAGAAAGCAAAACTGTTAAATAGTTCCATTCAATCCTTTCTACTTTCTGCCCTCTCCAAATCTAATATAAATAAGAAATTAATATATAAAATTTCTTTTTTAATTGTTCTAAAGCTTGAACTTCATATCCTGATATTGCATAATGTTTTTATAATCTGTAGCAGATAATTTTGTAGCATCAGAGTGCATATACTTTCTAGATAATAGGTTAACCATATTGATATCTATTAGATTTTTATATTATTAAAAAAAATATACAAAAATTATTAATACTATTAAAACTATATGAAAAACCAGTATTATGTGAAGCATCAGAAGAATTAGTTCTATTTATTATATGTGGACCATCTGTAGTATTAATAAAAAAAATAATACTATGCAAAGTAGTAGTACTATATGGTATATCAGGAGTATTAAAAGTATCAATACTATATACAATATTGAAATTATTTTTTTTTCAAAATAAATTTTACTTTTTTTTTTTTTTTTTTTTTTTGGAGTTAAGGTGAGATTTTGCTCATATCTTTATTAATTTGTTAAAGATGCCTCCAGGGGCTTCTCTGGATATAAATTACAAAATCTATTCCA